CAGACTGAACGTGACACAGATTGACAGTAATACAGACAGCAGACTGATAGTGAAACACAGTGGCAGACTGACAGTAACGCAGACTGAAAGTGCCAAACACAGCAAACTGAGTGACAGAGAATGACAGTAACACAGACACTGACTGAGTGACATTGACTTACAACGACATAGGCAGCAGTTTGACAGCGACACAGTCTGACAATGATACATACAAAAAGCAGACCTACGAAGACGCAGACTGTCAGTGACACAGGCTGAGAATAACAGACTGACAGTGACACACAACAGACCGGCAGCGACAGAGAACGAGTGACACAGACAGCAGACTGACAGTGACACAGAGTGATAGTGACGCACAAGGCAGAGTTACAGCAAGACACACAGCAGACTGACAGTGCTACAGACTGTGAATGATGCACAGACGGGTAGTGACACAGACGGAGAAGGATACACACAGGCTGACAGTGACACAGCCTGACAATACAGACACGTGTCAACGCTGCTTCCTGGTTTCCCACCCGCCAGGCCCGCGCACGCGCCCTCTCCTGGCCCCGGTGTAGCCAGGCGCATGCGCGGTGCGGGGCAGTGCCAGCCACACGGGCCTCGGGTTTTAATGTCGGCGGTCGGAGAACTCTGAGGAGAAAGTGGGTAAAGCGGGAACAGGGCAAGGAAGGAACGGGAGTTCACCTTCACACGCTTGGAAAATGGAGGAGAAATTCGCCGAGATTGACGCGCAGAGCCGCTGGTCTCAGTCGTATTTGGTAAGTTTCTAAAAGTTATGTTTGCCTGCTCTGTCCGGAATATTTATCTGAATAAATATACAATAAAGACGGCGGGGATATGGATTGAAAGCTGCCGGTGGACCGGCGCTCCTCCCGGTTTCTGCTAACTGAAGCCAGGCCTGCAAGCGCGAGCTTAGCGGCGGAGTGCGCCTGCGTCCAGTTAAAGGTCTTTTAGTGCTGCCGATGATTAATGGCTCGGAGCTTCTTGTTAAAGGCCTGTTGTAACTTGGAACTTCACACATGGGTCGCTGCAAGACCAAACCGTAGAGTGCAGCAGCGTAAACACAAAAAAAGAAACAACTTTTGTGTGCTGCATTTTCTTCCTAATTCTCTCTCTGCCGGACTGACAGTCATTTGGTGATTTTGTTTTCTCCCTCTCGCTTCCGAATACTCCTTCGCAAGCATTTCGCTCAGAATCAACTCCACAAATTCACGTCCGAATGCAGATGGTGTTACTCCTCTGCTTTCTTAGGCATGTTGTCACAGCTAAACAACTGTTTAGATTACAGGACACTCGCACGTAGTGTGGTGGCTCGCTACACCAGTGAAATTTCTTCTCCCAGAGTGTTGAGAGTCTTTGGAGCTCCTGGTCACCGAGAGCTGTGGGACCAGAGTCCTAACATACATTTAAGGCTGAAATAGGTAGAGTTTTCATCAGTAGGGGAGTCAAGCGTTATAGGGAAGGGCAGGAAGGTGGACGTGCGGAGTGTTGGATCAGCCACGATTTAGTTGAATGGCAGAGCATGCTTGAGGGTTCAAACAGTCTGATTCTGTTTCTTATGATGTTAAGGAAAACTTGATCTGGCAGCGTCCGTGACGAAGAAATGAGAGTTAACATTTCGGGTCCGGTGACCCTTCCTCAGACTGATGGTAGTTGGGAAGGTGTTGGTTTATAAGCAGAAAATAGGGAGGAGGTGTGGTAGGGAGTAAATGATAGGATAAACGATAGAGCCTGAAAAGAGAGAAGAGTAGTTGGGTAGACAAAGGAGTTGCTAACGATCTGGCTAGGAGAGTGACTAGCTGTTAATGGGGACTGTTAGTGACTAACAATGGGTAGTGTGTAATGGCAGGCTATGTGTTTTGTGTGGGGTAGGGGGCTAGGACATGGCAGAGTTTAGGCCCTAAAATTATTGAACTCGATATTGAGTCCGGAGGGCTGCAGGGTCCCCAAGCGGAAAATGAGGTGGTGTTCTTCCAGCTTGCACTGAGCTTCGCTGGAACACTGCAGCAAGCCAGAGACAGAGATGTTGGCCAGGGAACAGGGTGGTGTGGTAAAGTGGCAGGCAACTGGAAGCTCAGGTCCTTTTTTGCAAGCAGAATGTAGATCTTCTGTGAAGTGGTCACTCAGTCTATGCTTCACTTCCCCAATGTAGAGGAGACCACATTATGAGCATCAAATACAGTAGACTAGATTCTGGGAAGTGCAGGTGAAGTGTTGCTTTATCTGGGAGGTGTGTTTGGGACCCTTGGATACTGGGGAGTGAGGAGGTAAATGGGCAGGTGTTGCAGGGGAAGGTGCTGCGGGGGTGTGTTGGGGGTGAATGAAGAGTGGACCAGGATGTCCTGGACGGAATGGTCCCTGCAGAAGATGGACAAGGTAGGGGAGGGGAATGTGTCTGGTGATGGCATCTGGCTGGAGGTGGCAGAAATGGCGCCTGATGACCTTCCGAATGTGGACGCTGGTGGGGTGGTAGGCAAGGACAAGGGGAACTCCATCGTTACAGTGGGAGGGAAGAGAGGGGGCGAGGACGGAAGTGTGGGAGATGGTTCGGATCCAGTTGAGGGCTCTGTTGACGGCAGTGCTGGGGAGCGCCTCCAGTGAGACACCTCCCTATTTTCTGCATGTAAACCAACGTTTTCCCAGCTACCATCGGTTCTGAGGAAGGGTCACCGGACCCAAATGTTAACTCTCGTTTTTTCGTCACAGATGCTGCCAGATCTGCTGAGCTTTTTCAGCAACTTCTGTTTTTGTTCCATTATTAAATTTGTTTTGTGAATCTTGGCAGACTTCAGTTTAGTGATAATGGGACATTGTGCTGTGATGACCTAGTTTTGTAGTGAGAAATATTGGAAGGTGATAGGATGCTGGCTTCATGGTGTTCAACCAGAATCTCTTAAAAGCCAGAAACTGCAGATGGAGATTTGAAGTAAAAATAGAAAATGCTGGAGAAACTCAGCTGTCAGATCTGCTGAGTTTCTTGAGCGCATTCTGTTTTTATTTACAAACCCTTAAAGCTATGGTTATACTGATAGTTTTAATTTTGGATTCTGTCACTGTATTTAGAATACTAGATATGATTCTCACCATTTCACAGAATTACAGATCTCAGTTTACATTAGCTCAACTAAGAATATATTTAATAGAAATGCATGCATGGTTTGTGGATACTGGGCTCCTCCAATCCAACAATAACAATAATTGTGAATATGCTGTGCTTTGAGAATAGGAGAGAATAATTGAGGATGGATGAACAGAGAGAGCCTACACCCTTTCACAGGTCCTCAGGACACATGAGTACTATCATGTTGCAACACTCCAACATTACCCATTGCCAGTTTTACCAAATTGTGGAACTCTGTTCCTGTCGGGCCACACCCTCCGATCCTGTTCAGTGCTGCATATGACATCATCCTTCATGTTCCTGTTACTTTAAGGGGTTTTCTACACTCACTTTTTGAGCATCTCTCTCCCTTCAGCCTCTACCTCCAAGGAGAATTGCAGAAAGCTAAAGAATGGAGAGATCTGGGAGTCCTCATCCGTGAGTCACAACAAGCTAGTATCCAATTTGGCAGGTAATCGGGAAGGCAAATGGAATGTTGACCTTCCGTTGAACAGGAATGGAATATTCAAGTAGGGAGGTTTTGCCAAAACTACACAAGGTATTGTTTAGGCCGCAGCTAGAATACTGAGAGTAGTTTTGGTCCTCTTAAAGAAAGATGTATTAGCATTGGGAGGCAGTCCAGAGAAGATTCACTTGGCTGATATCAGATATGGAGGGGCTGTATTATGAGGAGAGTTTCTAGGTTGGGCCTGTACTTGTTGGAATATAGAAGATTGAGAGGTGACCTAATTGAAACATAGATTCTGAGAGGACTTGACAGGTAGATGTGGAAAGGTCGCTTCCCTTTGTGAGAGTGTCTCGGACCAGAGAGCATAATCTTAGAATAAGGGATCACATATTTAAGACAGAGATGGGGAGAAGTTTGTTCGGAAGATAGTGAAATTCTTTACTGCAGAGGGCTGTTGAGCGTGGGCTGTTAGATTTTCAATTTCAGCCTTGAATATTTTTATGTATCGTTGGAGCCATTTAGTTTTATTGAGGAAAAGGCAGGAAAGTGGAGTTGAGGATTATTAGATCAGCCATGATTTCATTGAACTGTGAAACATGGGCTGAATGGCCTTCTGCTCCTATGTCTTAAAGATAGGAACAACAGTATTGAGCCTGCCAATTTGCCGTGCAACCCTCAAAGTCAAGCAGAATACTGACTGAGATAATGCTGTTGCTCGGCTGGGGCACATATCTCCATCAAAATACATGGAGAAGTTCAATAAAAGGACTAAGTGATTAAGAAAGATATCTTGCCAGCTTTATCCACATACCAAGGTCTAGTAAAATCTTTCTGAACCCTTTGTGGTAGTGCTAAAACCTGTAATTTTCTGTCATCCCATTGCCTGTTTATTGAACATTTATCCCCTGACCTGCCAGATCTCAAACTGATAGGTCTGTCATCCTCTGCGTTTCACAATGAGAGAGAAATCTATTTCTATAGTGCTTTTCGTAACCACTGCATGCCTCCGTGCATAACAGCCAGTGAGGTAGTTTCAAAGTGTAGTTACTGTTTTAATGTAAGCAACAATGTACACAGCAAATTCCCACCAGTGTTGCAGCAGCAATATGATGATAACTAGATCGTCTGTGTTTGTGATTGAGGGATAGGTAATAGCCATAGGCCGGAAATAACATCTACTCTCTAAAATAGTGCCTTAGAGTCACTTGCAGTTGCTCAAAGGCTGATTGGGTCTCGGTTTAACATGGCTGAAAGACAGCATCTCTACACATTCCCTCAGTAATTCAGTGGAGAATCAATTTACTTAATTTTCAAACTTGAGCTTGGGTAAGTCTTGAATCCAGAACTTTGGGATTGAGAGGAGTGCTATCAACTGAGCCATATTGTTGAAAACCCCAAAAATAACAGTGGAAATTGACTAATTCCCTGCAGTTTGTGCTGCAATGCGTGACATCTGTTTTGTTGTAATGAGAATAGGGGCTTCAGTTTTTTTAAGTTCTCTTGTGGGACACAGGGGAGTGTTGCTGGCAGGCTAGTATTTACTTCCCATGTCTTGCTGCCCTTGAGAAGGTAGTGGTGAGCTGCTTTCGTGAACCATTGCAGTCCATGTGCTAATCTCTAATTGTTTGATTTGTTTAATCAGATCATGGCTTGCTATGTATTACAGAGACATGGTTGCAGGGTGACCAGGGTTGAGAGCTCAATATTCAAGGGTATTTGATATTTTAGAAAAACAGGCAAAAAAAATGCTGATAAAGGAAGGTAATTAGTATGGTGGTGAATCATGATATAGATACAATAGATTGTGATGTGGAATCAGTTTGGGTAGACGTAAGAGATAAAAAGTGAAAGAAGTCACAGGTGGGAGTCATCTATAGTCCCTGACGAGTTGCCTCAATGTAGGACAAAGTATAAATCAGGAAAGAATGATGGACACCACAACTGTTCTGGGTGATTTTAATCAGCATTTTGACTGGACAAATCAGATAACCTACCAGGAACAGCTTGTTTTAGATCTGGAAATATATGATGAGGGAGAATTAATAGATTCTGTAGTTAAGGATTCTCTTGGAGACAGTAATCACAACATGGCAGAATTTCAAATTCAATTTGAGGTTGAGCAGCTTTGGTTTGAAACCGAAGTGCTCAACTTAAAAAAGGGTAATTACAGAGTTAGGGAGAAAGAATTGTCAAAAGTTGGCTGGGAAAATAGATTGAGAAGGTCGCTCATGAGCAGTGGCAGACATTTAAGTGGATATTTCATAATGCTGAGCAAATAGGACTTGATGAAAAGCACCCACTGAGTTGTAGTTTGAGGAGCCCCTAGCACTTGAGCACAAAACTCGAAGCTGACTCCCATGTGCAGTAATGTGGGAGTGCTGTATTGCTGGAGTTCCAGGCTTTGTTTAAAATTTCTAAAAGATCCCACTTGGCCTGTGAAATAGATGTCCTTTGGGATGGCCACATCACTGGGAAGACCAGCAGTCTATCCCGGTTATTGAACAACTGCAATCCATTTGGTGCAGTTATACCTATGGTGGTGTTAGGAAGAGAGTTCTGTGATTTTCATCCACTGACAATGAAGAAACAATGGAGTAGTTCCAAGTCAGGATATTGTGTGGCTTGAATGGTGGTACTGTTCCCTTCTATCATCTGCTGTTGTTCACCTAGGTGGTGGAGGTCATAGGTGTGAAAGGTGCTGTCAACGGAGCCTTGACAAGTCGCTGCAGTGCATCTTGTACATGAGGAAGGGTCACTCAACCTGAAACGTTAACTCTGCTTTCTGTCTACAGCTGCTGCCAGACCTGTTGAGTATTTCCACCAAATTCTGTTTTTGTCTCTGATTTATAGCATTTGCAGTTGTTTCAGTTTTTATTTTGTATGTATTAAACACTGCTGACAGTGGAGGTATTGAATGTTTGTTTTGGTGGATGAGGTGCTGACCCAGTGATTTGTTTGGTTTGTTTTGTTAAGCATTGACGGTGTTATTGGAACCACTCTCACCTAGGCAAGTAGAGAGTATTCCATCACACCCCAGCTTGTGTCTTTTGATATGCATAGAACATAGATTTGATATGTGCAGGCTTTGGGGAGTAAGAAGTTTATTCCCAGACTTTGACCTGCTATTGTTGCTAAGTATTCGTATGGCTGGATGATAGGGTCAGAACAGGGATGTTTGCTGATTGCATAGAGTTCAGTACCAATGACAACTTTACAAATGCTGAAACAATTCATGTACAAATGTAGTATCCAAGTTTGGGCTGACGTGTGACAAGCAAAATTCACAACACATAGGCAATAGCCATTTCCAATAAGGGAGAATCTAACCATCCTTGCCATTGCTAATATCCCATTATCAACATCTTGGGGTTGCCTGGGGCTCAGAAACTGAGGTGAACTAGCCATATAATTACTTCGGCTACAGGTACAGCATGTGGCGTCTGAGGCTATAAATTTTACAGCAATCAACTCATCACCTGACTCCCCAAAACCTGTCCTCCATCTGCAAGTGAGTGTGATGGAATACTCCCCACTTTCCTGCACAAGTACAGCTTGTGAGTGTGACGGAATACTCCCCACTTTCCTGCACAAGTACAGCTCCGATAACACTCAAAAAGCTTGATATCATCCAGGACACAACTCCACATCCATATTCACACCCTTCACCACTGCACAGTATCAGCAGCTTGTGCCATCTGCAAGATGCACTGTAGAACTTCACCTAGGTTACTCAACACCTTCCAAACTCATGACAACTACCATTGAGAAGCCTGTCTTATAAGGAGAGGTTGTGCACTTGAGGCCTATATTTTCTCAAGTTTAGAAGGATGAGAGGAAGTATAATTGAAGTATATAAAATGCTAAAGAGGATTGACCAAATGGACGGAAAGTATTTTCCCTTGTTGGATAATCTACAATGAGAGGTCTAAGGGGTGGCAGAGTTAAAACAGATGAGGAGAAATTATTGCCCTCAAATAGTTGTGAATCTGTGAAACGCAGTACCCGAGAGCGCACAGGATGCTGAGACACAGATTTTTAGTTAGTAATGAGTTAAAGGATATGGGCAGCAGGCAAGGAATTGGGGTTGAGGCCAAATTGAGAACAGCCATGATTGTATTAAATGCTGGAGCAGACTCGAGGGGCTAAATTGCTTACTCCTCCTAGTTTTTATGAAGGACAATGGCTGTTTCGATACGTGATAACACTGCCAACTGCAGTTTTCACTCTGAGCCGTTCACCATCCTGTCTTGGGGGGGAAAGAATATGTCGATCCTCCACTGTTGCTGGGTCAAAATCTTGGAATTTCCTTTCTAGCACATCGGGGGTGTACTTACAATGAATGCACTGTAGCAGTTCAAGGCAGCTTGCAACCACTTTCTCAAAGACAACTACAATACAGTAATAAATGCTGGTCCATCCAGTGACACCCACATTCTATGAAAAAAAGACTTCTTTTGAAGGAGTAATTTTTTTTTTAAAGAAAACACCATGTCTTGGGCGAAACCTGTGAGATGATTGGTGGTGGATGGTATGAATGTTTGTGGGTGTGGTGCCAATCAATTAAGCTGCTTTGTCCTGGATGGTATCGTGCTTCCTGTTTTCTGTAGGAGCTGCAGTCATCCAGGTAAGTAGGGAGAATTCTGTCACACTCCAGACTTGTGCCTTGTAGACGGTGGACAGGCTAATAAAAGCAAAATACTGCAGATGCTGGAAATCTGAAGTAAAAACAAAATGCTGGAGACACTCAATAGATCTGGCAGCATCTGTGGAAAGGGAAACAAAGTTAACATTATATGCCCAAAATGACTGTACTTTAACATCAAGTCCACAAGTTTCTAATTTTTTCTCTCTCGACAGATGCTGCCAGATCTGCTGAGTTTCTCCAGCATTTTGTTTTTACTTCAGATAGTGGGCAGGTTTTGAGGAGGTGAGTTACTTGCAGGGTTCCTAACCTCTGACCTGTTTTTGTAGACACAGTATTTATATGGCTGGTCCATTTCAGT